GTGTGTGTATAAGAGTATGTGTGTGTGCGCGTGTGTGTGTGTGTGTGTGTATAAGAGTATGTTTGTGTGCACGTGTGTGTGTGTGTGTGTGTGAGAGTGTGTGCACGAGTATGTTTGCGTGTGTGTCTGTGTGTGTGCGTGTTCAGAGTGTGTGTGAGAGTGTGCTTGTGTGCACGAGTGTGTGTGTGACTGTGTGTGCACGCACGAGTATGTTTGTGTGTGTGTGACAGTGAGAGTGTGTGTGTGTTTGTGTGCACGAGTATGTTTGCGTGTGTGTGTGTGTGTGTGTGACAGTGAGAGGGTGTGTGTGTGTGTGTGTGTGACAGTGAGAGGGTGTGTGTGTGTGTGTGTGTGACAGTGAGAGGGTGTGTGTGTGTGTGTGTGTGACAGTGAGAGGGTGTGTGTGTGTGTGTGTGTGACAGTGAGAGGGTGTGTGTGTGTGTGTGTGTGACAGTGAGAGGGTGTGTGTGTGTGTGTGTGTGACAGTGAGAGGGTGTGTGTGTGTGTGTGTGTGACAGTGAGAGGGTGTGTGTGTGTGTGTGTGTGACAGTGAGAGGGTGTGTGTGTGTGTGTGTGTGACAGTGAGAGGGTGTGTGTGTGTGTGTGTGTGACAGTGAGAGGGTGTGTGTGTGTGTGTGTGTGACAGTGAGAGGGTGTGTGTGTGTGTGTGTGTGACAGTGAGAGGGTGTGTGTGTGTGTGTGTGTGACAGTGAGAGGGTGTGTGTGTGTGTGTGTGTGACAGTGAGAGGGTGTGTGTGTGTGTGTGTGTGACAGTGAGAGGGTGTGTGTGTGTGTGTGTGTGACAGTGAGAGGGTGTGTGTGTGTGTGTGTGTGACAGTGAGAGGGTGTGTGTGTGTGTGTGTGTGACAGTGAGAGGGTGTGTGTGTGTGTGTGTGTGACAGTGAGAGGGTGTGTGTGTGTGTGTGTGTGACAGTGAGAGGGTGTGTGTGTGTGTGTGTGTGACAGTGAGAGGGTGTGTGTGTGTGTGTGTGTGACAGTGAGAGGGTGTGTGTGTGTGTGTGTGTGACAGTGAGAGGGTGTGTGTGTGTGTGTGTGTGACAGTGAGAGGGTGTGTGTGTGTGTGTGTGTGACAGTGAGAGGGTGTGTGTGTGTGTGTGTGTGACAGTGAGAGGGTGTGTGTGTGTGTGTGTGTGACAGTGAGAGGGTGTGTGTGTGTGTGTGTGTGACAGTGAGAGGGTGTGTGTGTGTGTGTGTGTGACAGTGAGAGGGTGTGTGTGTGTGTGTGTGTGACAGTGAGAGGGTGTGTGTGTGTGTGTGTGTGACAGTGAGAGGGTGTGTGTGTGTGTGTGTGTGACAGTGAGAGGGTGTGTGTGTGTGTGTGTGTGACAGTGAGAGGGTGTGTGTGTGTGTGTGTGTGACAGTGAGAGGGTGTGTGTGTGTGTGTGTGTGACAGTGAGAGGGTGTGTGTGTGTGTGTGTGTGACAGTGAGAGGGTGTGTGTGTGTGTGTGTGTGACAGTGAGAGGGTGTGTGTGTGTGTGTGTGTGACAGTGAGAGGGTGTGTGTGTGTGTGTGTGTGACAGTGAGAGGGTGTGTGTGTGTGTGTGTGTGACAGTGAGAGGGTGTGTGTGTGTGTGTGTGTGACAGTGAGAGGGTGTGTGTGTGTGTGTGTGTGACAGTGAGAGGGTGTGTGTGTGTGTGTGTGTGACAGTGAGAGGGTGTGTGTGTGTGTGTGTGTGACAGTGAGAGGGTGTGTGTGTGTGTGTGTGTGACAGTGAGAGGGTGTGTGTGTGTGTGTGTGTGACAGTGAGAGGGTGTGTGTGTGTGTGTGTGTGACAGTGAGAGGGTGTGTGTGTGTGTGTGTGTGACAGTGAGAGGGTGTGTGTGTGTGTGTGTGTGACAGTGAGAGGGTGTGTGTGTGTGTGTGTGTGACAGTGAGAGGGTGTGTGTGTGTGTGTGTGTGACAGTGAGAGGGTGTGTGTGTGTGTGTGTGTGACAGTGAGAGGGTGTGTGTGTGTGTGTGTGTGACAGTGAGAGGGTGTGTGTGTGTGTGTGTGTGACAGTGAGAGGGTGTGTGTGTGTGTGTGTGTGACAGTGAGAGGGTGTGTGTGTGTGTGTGTGTGACAGTGAGAGGGTGTGTGTGTGTGTGTGTGTGACAGTGAGAGGGTGTGTGTGTGTGTGTGTGTGACAGTGAGAGGGTGTGTGTGTGTGTGTGTGTGACAGTGAGAGGGTGTGTGTGTGTGTGTGTGTGACAGTGAGAGGGTGTGTGTGTGTGTGTGTGTGACAGTGAGAGGGTGTGTGTGTGTGTGTGTGTGACAGTGAGAGGGTGTGTGTGTGTGTGTGTGTGACAGTGAGAGGGTGTGTGTGTGTGTGTGTGTGACAGTGAGAGGGTGTGTGTGTGTGTGTGTGTGACAGTGAGAGGGTGTGTGTGTGTGTGTGTGTGACAGTGAGAGGGTGTGTGTGTGTGTGTGTGTGACAGTGAGAGGGTGTGTGTGTGTGTGTGTGTGACAGTGAGAGGGTGTGTGTGTGTGTGTGTGTGACAGTGAGAGGGTGTGTGTGTGTGTGTGTGTGACAGTGAGAGGGTGTGTGTGTGTGTGTGTGTGACAGTGAGAGGGTGTGTGTGTGTGTGTGTGTGACAGTGAGAGGGTGTGTGTGTGTGTGTGTGTGACAGTGAGAGGGTGTGTGTGTGTGTGTGTGTGACAGTGAGAGGGTGTGTGTGTGTGTGTGTGTGACAGTGAGAGGGTGTGTGTGTGTGTGTGTGTGAGAGAGAGAGTGAGTGAGTGAGTGTGTGTGTGTGTGAGTGTGTGTGTGTGTGAATGTCTGAGTGTGTGTGAGTGTGAGTGTGTGTGTTTTTCTCTCCAGCATGGACAGGAATCACAGCATCATTCCTGCAGATGAAGATGAATCCGTGTTTTCTCCTGCTACAGAGGAAGTGTGTGGAAGCGTGAGTCACACACGTTTATCTCGCACGTCATGCCCTGCAGTGAGCAGCTTAAAAACCCTCGTCTGGATGGAAGGAATGATGAAGCACAGGAAGTTCGTCTGTACAGCAGAGACGGTGGAATCATTGGTTCAGTTCAGCGTTCTCAACTA